ACCTACTGCTTTTCTACTTTTCACTTTTATTGAATATTTTAAGCAACCCTAGCGGCAACAATGGCACACAGAGTGATACCATAAACAAGGCCACGCCAAGACGCTGCTTTTGCTAGTCACTTGGTGACTATCTGCTGGCTACTAATGTTTTCCTTGCTAATGTCCATGTTGCTGTTGTGGTTGCCTGCGTTGCTGGTGGTGGCATATAAACTGGGCTTTAATATTCTAATTACACACGGTAAACAAATGAAAATTTATTGCGGCCACCGTAGCTAAAAATGTTTGTGTTTCTGCCTACCACCTGCCTCCTCAGAGGGCGTGGCACCTAACCCGCGCTCAACATTGGCATTTATGCAAACAGACGGTAGACTTTGCTAAGTATATGTATGTGTGCCACACCTTAGTACTTATTTAGAGAAATACCCTTTTTGACTATGTGCCCGTTCGGGTGGGCGCTTCGGGGTTGCCTCCGGCAACAGCAACGGCAATCGCAAAGCCAAAAACATGCAACAGTCTCCATAGCCGTCAGTTTAGTTTTAAGCAGTGAGGCGCGCAAGGGTAGACCCTGGCACGCACAAAACACACCCCCACATACTCACACCTCTAGTGAGTCACAACAAAATTTATTAAAAACGGCGCTTCACTTGTGCCAGCTGCTTCTGTTGCAAGCTCTGTTGCGGCACGATTTTGGCTAAGGTGAAATGAATATATTTCTTTTATAAGCTGTACATACAAAACTCAAAATATAGAAGTAAAAATAAAAGTACATACCAATTTCTTTACGGAAAAAATAAAATTAACGAACAGTCAAATGCCAACAAATTTATTTTAATTGTATATATATGCCTAAAAACAAGCTAGACTTCTAAGTATAGGATATACTTTAGTCGCGCCCCCCTAGATCTAATAGTTCCTATTTGCTCAAGTAGGTGTATGACAGCGTATCCAAATTCGTACTTTCCTTTGAACGTGTTACTATTTTATACGAGTCCTCTGTGTGTACTAGTGACCCTGCTGTCTGACTCATCGTACGATTCTAGAGAGTGACTCATGTTTAGCCTCTGTTTCCGCTGAGCGTTTTCTGCATGTTTAGCTTGGTTTTTTCACGGTTAAGTTACAACATATGACATTTCTCTGATGTGTCTATTCGGTATGTGTCCTACGGGGTTACCGGATATGGATATTTATTTTTGAAAATGTTCATGAACGCAATAATAAAATTATATGTGCCACAGAGCATATTTTTACATTTTCTACTTTGACGTGCCAGTTTTTGCACCACACGCTAAGCGACAGTGTATTGTTCTGAAACCCCTATATTCTTTAAAGGTACGTACCTTCTGATTTAGTGCATTTGGCGGCAAGCAAATCATTTATAATGACGCTATCGTTTATAACATGGAAACAGCTAAGTCCAGCTAAGTCTTGAGAGTAGAAAAGTCCATTTAATTGTTTAGTACCACATATATTGACGACTTAGCAATTTAATTTAGAACAAATATGAAGCAAGGTTTTCAGGATATATGAGACCTTTAAATGGCCAACAAATTGTAACTCACTGGCTTTTTGATGTTTTATTTACTTGCGTGTGTGTGTTTTACCGACCGTTTTCCGCATAAAGCTCATCTGCTCGTCTCTTTTGTTGATGCTTCAACACTTTGGCGGCACTTGAAGGAACGTCAAAGTGCAACTCATTATAGTTGAGAGTCGGGCCGAGTCGGGGCTGTTAGACATGATTAAGTGCAATGAAATGAGTAAATGGTGCTGCTAAACATCAAGGAAGATAAAAGCTACAAAAAAGTGTCAACAACCCTCAAAAGTGCCATTGTGTTTGCCTCTACTTATATCCTTGCAGATGTCAAACACGTCGTCATCTCCTGAGTATATGTGGGCTTCTATCCTTGGCTGTGCGGGTGAGTGTTTATGTTTGAGTGCTACAAAAGTACTCAATTAAAAACATCAAATGTGCTTTGCTCGTTATAACTTGAGAGTGTTGCCTTCAGGAGCAGATTAAGCATAAAATTTATGAAATATGAAGAAGTTTTTCAAAGGATATTGGCCACATTTGCTACTTAGGAGATAGTCAGTTTTGTAATTTCTGACAATAAATTGCATATATTGCAAATACTTACGTATAAAACAATTCAATAAAAACTAAAAAATCAGAAATAAGCCGGCTAAGGGGATCGACTATTCGATTCGACAAAACTTTGACTGAATGTTAAATGGTATTAGCTTCATGAGTATTAGCTCCAGATACTATTTTAAGAAAAACATAACTAGATCAAGATGGTCGGCTGTTTACGATGAAAGGTAACAGAAGATCGCGAATACAAACGACTGTATATGAATTAAGCAATCCTAGGCTAGATTGCGGTGACGCCGCTTATTCATGTCACAGCCATGACTTTATATTACAAACAGAACAACTACAGAAAGAACATGATAGAAACAAGAGTTTACTGCCACCTATTCTAGGAGGGTGTGGTTATCTTTACTGTCAACAGTCTCCCATCAAGGCCATGAAAAGCAATAGCAAACGGTGGCTATGCCTGAATAATAGCAAGAAAACATTCAGACGGGTACGACAACAGGAAATGTGAAGGACATGAAAGAATAGTAGGGGAAACAGCACACACACAGAAGCTTGACTGTCTTGTGCATGTAGTTATAAAATATCAGAAACATTTAGAAACAGTATCAAATGGTAAAAAAAAACAGAAACAAATTTTAGTTTGCTGTTTTACTATAAGTTGAAAGTTTTAGATGACACTTAAATTCAGTTTAACTCTGTTCCGTTCTAAAAATAGGTCTAAATGATTTAAAACGAATATTTTATGCTCAGTGCAGTTGACGCGGATTTGAATGCAGTTTTATCTAGGTAGCTGCATTTGCCTTGGTTTAACCTCGCTTTAGTCATAAACACGATATAAACACTGCATATCTAAAGAATATCGCATACAATTAAATTTTAATTTGTATAGCATTAGTCCATATCAAACAGAAGCAGCAGCAAACAATATCAAAAAAACTGAATGCTTTAAAGTATTTTTTTATTTTGAGCAATGCCGCAAAGCCTGCGGCTATGCAAAAAAAAATAGTGTACACACACACTTACCATGCCCACACCGAGACTTACAGCTAATGCAGTCGTGCATGGCTTTAAAATGTATATATATCCAGTTCTCTGCCTCCTGGACACGAAAACAATTTGCAAATTGCTGGCCAAAAATTGGTACCACCTTCGCCTTACCATGTCAATTCAACAGCAACTACAAAAGCCAAAGCAATAACAATAACACACACGTTGAATCAAAACAATGGGCAAAACTTTAACGGGTGGTCGCCTTGATCGCAATCAGGTTCCTGGCCAGCACTGCGGCAGGGGAGTGACTCTTTAGCGACTTCTGCGGCTGAGTTTCGAGGCCAGGCTTCGAGAGTGTTGAGGTCGAATAAACAAGCACAATACCTAGCCGGATGGGTTGCAGGAGCCTGTTTCAAGCATATGCAAAACAATCGACCAGGACGACACCTGGCCGTTGTCGCCGACGCCGTCGCTCGCAGTGTGTGGAAAACAAAAACAAAATGAGCGCGAAAAGTTTACTGCTTTTCCATAAACTAGTTGGCAGTAGGGTCCAGTCCAAATCCCGACACGGACATTCACTAGTTTCCTTTTTATGTTGGCGCCGCCTGCCTCGGCCGTTGGCCCTTTCTGGCTGGCTCTTATTATTACTATTACTATTTTTATTTTGTGGGCTGTTTTGTTGCTTCGCCTTCGTAGTGGCCAGGCACAGGAAGCGTGCGTCGCCATGTAGGCGCGCCAAGCAGACGCCTAAAACTATGCTTTGGCGTTTAGTGGCCATAACGGCAAGCCAAAAAAAAAAAAATACACCAAAGAGTGGTATAGTGTTTAGGGTCTACCGTTGCATGTTCTCGCACGCTTTTTACCAAAGTAAAAGAAAAATAAGCGATATTTTTCCTTTCGTTAATACAAGAAATTCCATGCGACCAAAATTTACAGCTGACGGAGCGTGTGTATGAGAGTTTGTTTGCCAACTGTGACAGCTTTTGAAGAGAAAAAATATTGTCGCGGAAGTTTATTGTAGTAAAGTAAGTAGTAAGATTAGTCAGGAAAGCACAAAAACCTATGTTCCTTGCCACTTCTTGAGTCAGGGATTCTTTAAAAATTTAAAAGTATTCCGAGCATGTTTGTCTATGAAGTTGCACTCTTACGATATATGTATGTACATTGCACATCGTACTGTGTCCCAAATTTATTAAAGCCATACTTTTAATTTATTCTAATGGTTTTTGTTGGGGTGCCAGTTGCCGTTCTCTAATGGACATCATTTGCCATTCGCCGGCTGCCAACGGTTACGCAAGTGAAGCCGGTTTCCATTTTTAACATTTGGTTTTCGCTTCAGTGCTCCTAACATAAACAGGCAGCAAATATTTGATTGGCGTTGCAGCTCACGAAGGAACATGTCGTCCACGGTTTGCTTTTAACCAATTCAGCCCAGTTATGTCATTTTGAAAATCAATTGGCTTAAGATCATGTCAAGTTTAGTTGAACTTATAACATTAAAATTAGTTATCATCAAGCACTTTTATTTTAAAATCTGTTATCTCTTTATATTACCTACAAATTTCTCACGATTGTGTGCAAAGTTTCAAAATAGTAAACAAATAAATACTTAGAATAAGCGTTAAACTGTATTGCATATAGCTAAAAGTGTTCAACACTGGCCGATTGTAACCGGTTTATTTGAGTTTCAGCAATTTAGCAGTTCTGATCTATCACACATATTTGTTATTGTATAAGCGCATTTTTATGAACATCGTCATGCATAAATCACTCGCAATTTAATTTCACACAGACAACCACAGATACTCGGTTATATATAGTAAGAAACATCTACTGAAACTGGCACATTCATTCAACCCTAGGCCGAAGCAAATTTTAATAGTTGCCGGCTTTTGGCGCGCTTCAAAAAAACAAGTTTTTTGTTTATAAACAATTTTTAATACGCTGCACTCATAAAATTCATGAAAACGGTATATGTATGTATAGTCTTGTCGGGCTTAATCTGCGGAAAAAGCTTGTCCAACCGGTCAGCGCAAAGATAGCACACAATAATGTGTACACTTTAATACTGCAAAAAGCTGCAGTTTAAATAATACGATACATATATCTAAAGTATTTTATATTTCTAAAGGGTGTCTTCAAGCCCATACCTTTTAGGTACAGTATTCTAACTTGTTTTGCTGCTGCTCTGTCTTCATTGTTGGTTTGTGTTTTTTTGCATTTTTTATTTGTTGTCCCTCTAGTTTTAAGCAAGCCGCGTCGGCTGCGACGCACAATAAATGACATAATTTGATACTCAAATTCCAAAACAAACAAATTTTAATTTGAAAAGAAAACGAAATTGAATTTTAATTTTAACTACCTGCCTTCAGTTGACTGAACGACTGTCAAATTGACAAGTTGACGGTCTGGAAGACTGCCTTGCCACAGAAATATGCTAATTTTGATACAAATGCGAAAGGCATTTGGTTATTATAAAAAATGAAGAATATTTTCCCCTCCGCTGTTTTTGTGCTTTTGTTATAAAATCTTATATACGTTTGCATAATTTTGTTAAACATTCCGAGCTTGTATTGGTGGAAACATTAGCATGAATAGCTTCAACTGTTAAACAAAGTGTCTATACATATGAATCAGCTGCTATTTAGATGTGATGTCATCATCATCTTTGTGTGGCCAGCGAACATTCCACAGATTAAGAATCATATTGCTATGCGTTAAAATCTATTGCATTCAAAACGTAAACTTATCATATTCGAGATGTTGAGAATAACAAGTAAACGCTTATCTAATGATGCAAGTCCGTTACGAATATATGAACACACTAAGATACCAATGACAGTTGACAGCGTGCTGTTGTTTGTTAAGCTGAAGTGGGCAATACTTGAGTAGAATACATCGACGGAACGGCTTACTAATTAAATTTGCATACTGACTGCGAACATATATATATATACTTAAACTTTTGCGTGACAACGTGACTGCAGTAAATGGTTGACTCATTGAGTAGCCCCTATCAATTGTATTTTAAGTTCACACAGCAATTGTTGCCCAGAGTAGATGCACTTCTGAAATCAGCTGATGGAAATGATAATGTTGATGATTCAATGGCTGTCTGAGAAGTCGCTAGAAGTCATGAGTAAGGCACGAGTTCACGGAAAATCTTTATATTTTATATAGAAAAGTATATATATGTACATGGTCTATGCTCTAGTACTTGTGAATGAAATTCAAACTAATTGGATAACTGACTCATTCAAGTAGATGTTTATAAATCGATGTTTACTTTCTTCTGTGGCCATGTGGTATAAGTTTTTTTTGGCTGCAGATGTGTCAGTAGATGTGTTTGTACATGTAATTTAAAATGCATAGTAGCTGAACATTTTTGATTTCAAACAGAAGCTTAAATCAGAAAAGGATGACTTAAAGGTTTACTTAATTTATTTTCTTCTTATAACCTAGTTCTGTGAACTTGTGTTGATGTCAATATAAATGGTTATATAATTTAAATCTATTATAATAACATAACTTGACTTACCGAATTCCTTTACATTTATAAATGCATTGAATAGCAAATATATTTGTATTGTAAATATCTGTAAATATAATAAGAGTCAATATTATTGAATGCTGTCATTTCTTGGCTCTTTTAATGTATATGCAAATTTGTCGTACTTTAAAAATGAGTATTTTGATGGTGAATCTTGGGTGTCGCGTGCCACCCCATTAAAATATTTGTATAAAGTATACAGCTAATTAAGGCAGCAAATTTTAATTTTATTTTTTATTTTTGCAGCAAAGCAAGCACAACAATACAATAATCGAAGAAAAAAAAACCAAGTCAACCACCGTATTGTTTGCCTAACCTTGAAAACCTGCTAATGGCCAGCTATAGATAAAAAAGCTTGGATATAGTCGTATAGATATGTTTGTATATAAGCAGCCACACACTGCATCATATTCACAGACGCATAAACTTTTCTAGCGTCTAGCTTAGCTTTTGTACTCAAGTGGTTGATTGTTAAATCGGAAAGAGAAAGATGATAGGCCCAGAATTCGAATAGTAAATTATTTGCGCACTGACGGAGAACAAATATAAATATATACACACACAGGCTAACGCAGTGTATATACAGATATACAGAAAATGTGCAAATTCATTTAGCCTTGATAGTTCCAAAATTAAAATGTTCCTCTGACGCGAGAATAGAAAACATTTTTATGTCTTGTGTGTGGCACTAGCAACGTGGTAAATGATTTAAAAATGTTGAAAGATAGTTTAATGAGTGCTATAAGTATGATGGTTTGCATACGAAGGTTTTTAAGACTGTTTCTTAAGCTGTAAAAAATTACCCTTTATTTCGATTAACTATTGCACTTAAGAGGCATGTCCGTTTACTCTCTCTTAAGGAAGCTTCTGTAGCTTATAATACGTTTGACTTGAGAGCAGCTCAGGCAACATCATAATTTATACTGATTAATCTGCACCCATCAGAGAAGGAAGAAGATAGTTTAAGAATTACTTGACGTTATTGTCTTGACATACTTTCTGTTTTCTGTTCTTAACTGATGTCATTGCAAATTGAATTTATCCAGTTTAAACGGAATATTATTCAACTGTGTCCCATTGCCCAAGGATTTGCTTTTGCTACACTCTGCACTTTGCGTTTTTACTAACCAATTTTTTATGGTCTGTGCATAGTTGTGTCTCGGATGGGTACAGCTCTCAAAGGTTTTGATATTGCTCAGGACTGCCAACTGGCTGTGCGACATTGTGACTCCGGCAAACTCATAAAAAGGTAATAAAATGTTTGTTTACCTTGGTAATAGGATGTGAAAAGCACACATTTGAATATATTGTATGAAACATATTCCAGTTTTACTTCGTTCTTGTTGTCGCAGCCTTGAGTGGCTCGGCAAGTTTATTTGCCAAACGAGTCAAAAGGACGAGGCCAAAAGGCGGAATTATAGCAAAAAACAGGAGGATAATCGCAGTCACAGGCGGAACTTCAACTTGCAGTGGTGGGAGTCACAGGAAATTGATTTCTTTTCGTAGTTTACCTTCCTCTTTAGCTTGTTGTCACACAGAATTTATTGATGATTGGTTTGCTCCCTGTGCATATTTATCTCAATGCAGATTTTATGCTTCAGCAGCAAGAAGACATGGTTTCGTATTTGCAGCTCCACGCATAAAAAAGGGACCCTTTTTATTCCATAATATATTGCATAATAAACTTCTGACGAGCTCATTAAGTTTAGAGAACTCGTAGCTTTGGTGTTTAAAACAAGAATAATTTGTAAATTATTAAGGCGGAGACTCATACAAATGAATTGATTTAAAAACTAGCTCTGCAACTGGCGTTTTACATTGCGATTTATGTACAGTCAAAAGTTAAGCTTGTCCTTCTTGATACATGTTTGAATATTTAGTTAAATGTTAAATGTGGAATATAGTTGCTTAGCGCTTCTTCATGTAATCTTTTCAAAGCTGGCATCTTAAAATGTTCTTAGCATTATGAATGTCACAGCATTAAAGACGCTTAGACTGCGATTAATAGACCTATTATATAATTTTTAATTTATAATTTTCTAGCAACACAGTTTATATCTTTTGCATGCAATAAGCGGGTCAATAAAAGCTGTTGCAAATTCTGGTAAGCTTACTGCATGCACTTGTTTGGTTTCCATACTGAGCACCTCATGCTTAAATATGCATTTGTTATTGAATTTTAGTAACAGGTGTCAGCACGTCCCTGTCAGTTATGTGGCCCTCGCATATGTACCATTAAAAATTTCTGAACCATACTTCAGCGCGCTCAGCCGTAACTAACACTCCAGCGGGTGGCGCACATGAAGTTTCACCTTTTACTTTCAGATGATTTTTGGTAAGGAAACGACTTTTTGAACCTGGGAACTGGCGCTCGCCTAGTGCTAATATGTGTCTAATACAGCGTACTAATTTATTTAAATTCCACCCACACACACACACACTCAGATGTTTAAGAGTTACCATACAGATGTGCCACCATCCGTGGATCGATGAATAGACCCTAGCATACAGAACCAGCTAAAGCCATTACAACGTTCAATGACACGGTAAAGTGCGCGCCATGGAAACTTTTTCCAACTCGTCTGACAACCTCTCCACATGTGGCTGGTTCTCTGGGTTGGTTCTGGCTCTTCCGTTCACTTTTCACAGCTTTGCTATCTATGCCCCGATGATTACAGCAACCATCAGCGTAAGGTTGGTCCTGTTTGATACTGCACATCAGGCACTACAGGGAGCAGGCACGAGCAGCAGCATCGGCATCTCTTCATGCCGTTCTAATAGCTTCTAATGCATGTAATGTCAACTCACGTCAGTTTCCGCTACGCTTCCTTGGGGCTCTGGAGTTTTCCTATCTTCAATACTTTTTCACCTTTTACAGTGCAGCACATTTAAAGTGCCTGAAAAGTGTGTGATTTCATCTTAAAATATTGATCGTCTTTTATGTTAGCAAAAAGGTAAAGTTTCAATTACAGCATGCAATGTGCGAAAATGAGTACTTAAGTTTTATTTAATTTTCGGTTTCAATGGTATTCTGTTTTAATTTTAGTAATACCATGCGCATATCATAACAGTTTTTCCTTAGAGCGCTTCGAAAGGGAGTCGTTTTTAATCCTTATACTTTATTCTTATGCCCAGTCGTATAAAAGTATGTGTGCACTCTTTTTTTTTTTTAAATTTCCAGTTGTTACTCTTCTTTGGGGCACTCTTAAATATTGACGCGCCCGAAAGGCAGATAGGAGGTAGCGGGTGGCTCATAAACATTGCAGAATTCATAGCTGAACATTTCAAATTTGATATGAGGCGCTCTTTTTTTGTTATTAAAGTTAATATATGTATATAGCTTTGCTATCCGATTTGCAGCATGTTGCTGAACTTAGGCAGAGCTAAAGTAAACTCTGCCAATGTTTGTTTTGTACACATGTAAATTGTTGACATTTTGGTAAGTTAATTGCATTTAAATGAACAAATTATTCGAATGTATGACAGTGACTACTTAATGGATACCAATCTCTTTAATTTTAGTGAGAAGCCGTAAGTGAAGGCTTTTCCAGGCTAAATTAAAATAAAACTTTATATTTGCTTGTAGGCAAACCAAGTAATCTTAAAGCTATATTATGTACTTAGATTAGTGGGTGTCAGCGTGTTAATGTAAAAATAGTAAGGCCATATAATAATGCCTGTTTATCGCATTATTTTGATTTCTGTTTTGGCTACCCTCGATTGTTGTTAACATTTTAAAGAGTCATTGTTTTTCTGAAATCCAATTTCGCCATAGTCATAGTCGTAGTCATTACCTCACAGACTTCATTTTATTTAAGGCAGATTTGTATGCCTGTATATTTTTTTTGCATCATG